CTCTTTTTAGGAGAATCATATTTGTAAATGAGAAGTAAATAAGCCGCTTCAATCTAACACTTACTAAATTGAGATATGGTGCAAGGCCGAAATGGACACAACGTGAGAACAAGAAATTTTTTCGGATTGTTATTGTTTGAGTACTATTGTCTTGGTGCCCATAAACAGTCGGTAAGTTCAAAGTATCACGCTACTAACTGGCTACTATATCCGATAGTATTTCACTAAGGAAGATTCAAAGCCACATGCTATCTATCTTGATGCAATTAATGACAGTTCATCGGGACTTTCAAGTATTGCATACATGCATTAATTTTATTCATGTGCGGAATTGTAAGAAAAATTAATTTTGTACCAATTTACGGTTTCATTTTTTGTAAGTGGAAGACTAAAAAATTCTCAAAACCATATTAAGGTGAATGAGAAATTAATACTAAGTTCTATATGTGGGAAATGTAAGGTTGAAGCAATGAGTTTAAGTAACTCAAATTATTAGATTCGTAAAACATTTTGTCTTTGACGAATGTTAGGATAGTCCAAACGAGACCTGATCAAGCAGCTTGCATGATATAACTCTAGAAGGGTTTGTTGGAGACGAGTTGGAAAACAGAACTTGATTTCGAGTCTGTATGAGCTCGTACGAGTCCGCGACGCACGGGCACGCAGCTAGTTGCGGACATTGAAAGGTCGCAACCTTTGGCGACTATAAGGTGTCTTTTGGCCTCTAGATGCATCCGTCCTCGTTCAGGTACGTTCCAAAAGGTGTCTTTTGACATTTAAACCTCTTGGAGGTGTTTTCCTACATCTATGTATACCCACATAAATGGAACAATTCACAATTTTAAAATTAGAAAGCTCTTGTATTACTTTTCAAAAATCATATAGCATATTGTGTTCTTTGATTTTTTTCATTTAGTCGTGAGAGTTCCAAACAATATCAGTGCTCATCGAAGTCTTGTATATTTGAAGTACCGCTATATACAAGTCGAAAGTCTTTGTATTTTGGAGGCGTTTGTCATTAACCGTGGGTATTTTATGGGGCAAAATTTTGTCTTAAGGGGAACGCAATTATTATGTGCATCGACTTTGATTTCTGTTTCATTTTCTTCATTTTCCTTAATCTGTCTTTTTGATATTCACAAACCACACAAACTACAATAATAATAAAAATAATAATAAAGAACGCAAATTAAACCCTCAACTTATTCATATATATGGTCAACTCATATATATGCATGGAGAAGTCATTGGTCCAACCCTTTTATCTATTGCCCTTAAACTAATTTGATTTTATTAGACTATATATTACTTGTTCATACTACATCTAATTGAAAATAAAAGGATCATACACTCTCCCCCCTAAAAAAAAATCACAAAAACATAGTAGTTAGCAAAGTCTTTTATTCTTCATATATTTACTAATATGTGTTCTGTTTCTTCATTACAGCGGGATTCGCTTGGAAGACAAAGCGAATATAACACTACTGTATGAGCAACACCATAGCAAATTGGACAATCATAATTCATTAGATACTATATATTCATGTAAACCTTTTTTTCATTCTAAAGGTCACATGTTACATATAATTTATTTCTTTCTTTTTTTTTTTTTTTTTTTTTT